AGAAAAGAAAAAAAAAAGAGCAACTAAACTAAACCCCAATGCTCCAACCAATACAAACAAATTCCATATAAAGGAAAATAAGGTGTGGGTGAAGCAGAGAGGAGAAGAGTCCTTTGCAGTAAAAAAAAACAATAATAATAATAATAATAATAATAATAATAATAATAATAATAATGAAGACCACCGTCATCATCATCATAAGTAGAAGAAAGCAATCTTAATAAGAGAAGGAATAAGCATAACTATAACAATAATTACAATTATAATTATAATCACAACAACAACAACAACAACAATAAAAAGAAGAAGCGATTAAAAATAAAAATAAAAAATCACTTTCTACGCATTTTCATTCCGATCTATATCTCTCTCTTCTTTTTCTTTTTCTTCTTCTTGTTGTTGTTGCGATGGTCTGACCTTCTGTGGGCGTCCACGGCGGAGTCCCTTCTTCACGAGATGTGTGATCACCCGCCGGTACTTCAGTTTGCCGTGCACCAGTCTCCAGTAGCGGTAATGCAGCAGCACACTGGAGCCAATAGAAGTAACGGCAAGCACCAAATAAACAATCAGTGTTGTTCGCATACACACATTCCCCCGGCAGACACCCTGCAGCGTGGGAGGAAGAAAACCGGGCGGAACCACCAGTTTGTGTTTATCGTAAACACCGAAGAGAAGTCCACGGTAGAGGGCCGCCATACCCAAGGCCGCTCCCAAGAAACAGAAACCGTAATGCATGCCAATATCTCGTTTGAAGATAATACCAATAACGTAAATAGTCATGGATGTACTGAAACCATAGGCGATGGGGGCGAGTAGATACACCACCAGCAGGGAATAATTCCCAGGGAAGGAAAGATAAAAGATAAGCGCAAGGGTCATTAATATACTTGGTAAAGGATAGGCAACCGTGGCTGGCAGGGAAACCCCAAGACGTTCCCCCAAGAATGGAAGCATCATCTCATAACTACCAACCGACACCCGACCAAACGCCGTGGAGACACTTGCAATCGTGGCAAAGAGAGTTGTTGTTTTTGTATCTAATCCCTCAAAGCGTGATCCAACCATAATACTAATATTCCACGTTGTCGTCATAGTTAAACCAATACCCCATATCACAAAGGTGGTGTAGAAGAGAAGCCATAAATCTATGTAGGTTAAACTCTCCAAAAAGGTGGTCTCATACACAGGAGTAACGAACACCTCATTACAAACCGTAATGGTTTCCACATGAGGATGATCATATGTGGAGACTTCACGTGTGATGACTTCCAATTCCGCGGCCTCAGGAGCATTACCACCATGAGCGGAAAGTGCCTCAGGATCCACTGTACTTCTCACCACTGAGGCATTATACAACCACTGTTGCAATGCATTGGCAGAGTCACTTTGTCCAATCTCTTCTACTGGGAGTACCTCATCCGTCTCAATGAGATTTACATTAGGATCAACAGGCTGATACTCCACTTCGGATTTGGCAGTCATTCTCTCTTCCACCACCTCCACTGCTGTAAGACTTCGCAGAACATTTCTATTATGATTTATCATATTCCCCTTGTCTTGGTTTTCTTCTTGTTGTAAAATATTACTTGAGGTGCTTTCCGGGCTTTCTCCATCCGCATCCCTGCCAAAGGGTTCATGAGATATTTCTAGTGTCGTGGGTTCTGTTTCCCCAGTATTCCCTCCTCTTAAATGCCTTTTCTTTCTTCTTTCCATTAACTCCTGTTCTCTTTCTCGTGCTCTTTCCAGTACAAGTTGATCCTGCGCCGTAGGGCCATCCAAACAGTGTAGTGGAATCACAATCACAAGTAATGACAATACAATGACGATGGCACCAACGGCTATTCCTATATACCGGCTCTTCGTCATAGTATCTATGGTATAAGCCACAGCAATAGATTGTACGGTGAGATAAATATTTAAAAGCACCATTATACCGGCCAGAATCTGTAAACGTCGTTTGGGTAATAATTGAGACATGAAGCGATTGCGAATGAGTTGTCTACTCAGACGTTCCCGCAGTGAAATGTGTTTTTCCTCCACTCGTGTGATAACATAAGGTGCATTATCTAAAAATACAACTGCGGTAGCCCCAAAACCGAGAACAATAGCCATGAGAAAATACATTAAATGATCATAACGATCATTAAAAAAGGCTCGGAAAATGGTTGTGAAAACAGATGGTCCTAATCCAGTGAAAGTGTTCATTAATCCCGTTGGCTGCGCACGATTACGAGGAGTGAATCCCAACACGGCGGGTAATGCCACCACTTCAAAGGCATAACATCCCCAATTCATTAAGGCAAAATATATACAAAAACGTGCCTTGGAGGCATCAATGTGTCCACCAAACGTCAATGCAAAGAGAAGATGTGAGAGAGCCGTGATAGCCGTTGCAAGTGCAATCACAATCTTCGGTCCAATAAATTCATACAGTGCACCAAAGGGAAATACAAATAAACCGAATGTGGTACCACAGGTAATGATATCCACCATTGTCGGTATATCATATCCATGCGTCCTCTGCATATATAATCCAAATATAGAAAATAATCCTTGTGTAGAGGTATTGATCATCAGCAGCATTCCAAAGAAAATAGCGCGAAATCGCCAAAAATCATTGATCTTTTTTGGATCAATGAGAATAACGGGACTGCCACCACCCAAGTGTGATTGGTCATGTGTAGCTTCTCTGTTCTCTTCATCTGCGTTTGCTGAAGTGATGCGCTGCGATGGTGTTGTGATGAAACTTGAAGCCACCGCCTCACTTCCACGCCGTGCGAATGAGACACGTAGTCGTGCTGGTGGATTATGTGTGTGAGTGGATTCATCCATTTTTCTTTTAATCTCTTTTCCTTTTTTCTTTTTTTTTT